AAGCAGACTGCCACATTTTTCTCCTATGGAGTGGCTGACTTTTTGGTTAGTGCTTTAACCACTGAGCTACCAAGGTGGTGGTGATTGTTGTTCTTGTTATGTGCCGTCTAGTCAGACCTGACTCATAGCAACCCCTCCTTGGGTTTCTGAGGCGGTATCACTACAGAAGTAGGTTGTCCAGCCTTCCTTTCCAGGGGTGGCTGGTGGGTTTGAACTGCTAGCCTTCTGGTTAGCAGTCAGGTGTCTTAGGCACTCTGACTCATGGCAACCTGGTATACAGCAGAATGAAACACTGCCCTATTGTGCACCATCTTCACAATCCTTGCTATACCTGAGCCTGTTGTTGCAGCCATTGTGCCAATTCATCTCTTTGAGGGTCTTCCCCTCTTTCACTGACCTTCACTTTAGCAAGCATGATATCCTTCTCTAGGGAATGGTCCCTTCTGACAATATGACCAAAGTACATGAGAAGAAGTCTGGCCCTTCTTGCTTCCAAGGAGCATTCCAGCTGCACTTCTTCCGGGACAGATTTTTTTGTTCTTCTGGCACTCCATAGTGCTTTCAATATTCTTCCCCAATACCATAATTCAAAAATATCAACTCTTTTTCAGTCTTCCTTATTCATCCAGCTTTCACATGCATATACAAAACGCAATGCAACCACCGCTGTAGAGTCGGATCCGACTCATAGCGACCCCTCCTTTGGTTTCCGAGGCTGTATCACTATGGAAGTAGATTGCCCAACTTTCCTTCCGAGGAGTGGCTGGTGGGTGTGAACAACCAGCCTTCTGGTTAGCAGTCAAATGCCTTAGGCACTATGCCACCAGAGCTCCCTCACATGCATATAGGTTACTGAAAATACCATGGCTTGGGTTAGGTGGACCTTAGTCTTCCGAGACATCTTTTCAGAACTTTGAAGAGGTCTTTTGCAGCAGATTTGCCCAGCGCAATACATCTGATTTCTTGACTGCTTCTTCTACTGGTGTTGATTGTGCATCTAACTAATATGAAATCTTTGACAACTTCCATCTTTTCTCCATTTATTGTGATGCAGCTTATAGGTCCAGTTATGAGGATTTTCATTTTCTTTATGTAGAGGTGTAATTCATACTGCAGACTGTAGTCTTTAATCTTCATCAGTAAGTGCTTTAGGTCATCTTCACTTTCAGCAAGCAAGGTTGTGTCATTTGTATATGACAGGTTGTTAATGAGTCTTCCTCCAATCCTGATGCCATGTTCTTCTTCATATAGTAGTTTCTTGGATTATTTGCTCAGCATACAGATTGAAAAAAATTGGTGAAAGGATACAACTCCGACACACTCCTTTCCTGATTTTAAACCATGCAGTATCCCCTTATTCTGTTTGAACGAAAGATTCCCGGTCCATGTACAAGTTCCTCATGAGCATAATTAAGTGTTCTGGGATTTCTGTTCTTCTCAATGTTATCCATAATTTGTTATGATCCACACAGTCAAATGCTTTTGCATAGCCAATAAAACACAAGTAAACATCCTTCTGGTATTCTTTGCTTCCAGCCAAGATCCATATGATATCAGCAATGATATTCCTCGTTCCATGTCCTCTTCTGAATCCACCTTACATTTCTGGCATTTCCCTGTTGATAGACTGCTGCAACCATTTTGAATTATCTTCAGCAATATTTTACTTGTGTGTCATATTAATGATATTGTTTGATAATTTCCTCATTCTTTTGGATCACCTTTCTTTGGAATGGGTACAAATATGGATCTCTTCCAGTCAGTTGGCCAGGTACCTGTCTTCCAAATTTCTTAGCATAGAGAAGGAAATGCTTACAGCGCAGCATCCGTTTGTTGAAATATCTCAGTAGGTATTTCGTCAATTCCTGGAGTTTTGTTTTTTGCCAATTCCTTCAGTGCAGCTTTGACTTCTTCCTTTAATACCATTGATTCTTGATCATATGCCACCTCTTGAAATAGATGAACATTGATCAATTCTTTTTTGTTATAGTGACTCTGTATTCCTTCCCTCTTCTTTTAATCCTTCCTTTATCATTCAATAGTTTGCTCATAGAGACTTTCAGTATTGCAACTTGAGGCTTGATTTTTTTTTTCTTTTTCATTTCTAGGAATTCTAAGCATTTTTTCCCTTTTGGTTTTCTAATTCCAGGTCTTTGCATATTTCATTTTAATAATTTGACTTCTCAAGCTGTCCTTTGAAGTATTCTGTTCTGCTCTTTTATTACATCATTTCTTCCATTTGCTTTGGCTACTCTGCGTTCAAGAGCTAGTTTCAGAGTCTCTTCTGACATCCATTTTGGTCTTTTCTTCCTTTCCTATCTTTTTAATAATTTTTTTTTTTTTTGTATGATGTTCTTGATGTCATCCCATGACTTGTCTGATCTTTGGTCATTGGTGTTTGATGCAACAAATCTATTCTTTAGATGGTGTATCAGTTCAGGTGGATAAAATCAAGGTCACATTCTGACTCTTGTGAACATGTTTTAATTTTCTTCAGCTTTGTCTTGAACCTGTATATGAGCAATGAGGGTCTGTTCCACTGTGGCCTTGTTTTAACTGATAATATTGAAGATGTAGACTATGTGAATTTAGGACTCAGGGGCCACAGGATATGGTGTAACAATGTACAAATGAGCATGTTGCATATTGAGGGACAGAGCAGGGATGTTGGCTATCAGGGAGTACTTCTTGGAGGAGATGGGTTAAGGAAGGACTTTGAAGGAGCAGAGGAGCTGAGGTTGGCTAGTGAAGGAGGTGGGAGAGGCAGGAGGATGTCCTGGGTAGCTGTACAGGATAACAGCCTGTCATTGCTCTAAGAGACCTGAGAGCTGGCTGGTGTTGTGAGTGAGGCACTCTGTGTGACAGTTCTGGGCTTGGCTACATCAGAGATCGGATGCAAGTACTCCTGCTCGTCCCACTCACTGTGTCCCTCTTCTATAGCACATGTATTGGACAATGCTGCAGCAGCTGACTCACCACTCAGTCAATGGCTGCAACCTCCGCCCGGGAGACCTCTTGGCTTCAGGAACCATTAGTGGGCCGGTGAGTACTAGGTTGCCTTTGTGGCTGCCCATATATAGCATCCTTACTCCCCACACAGAATGGATGGTCCCCAGCTCACCTTCAAGAAGAGATCCAAGCCCTAGATCTTGTATCTTACAGCTCCACCTTCCTCATAGCTTCATCCATCTATGTGTGTGGAAGTGGCCCAGATTCAAACCTGAAGAGACTGGTCAATGAATGAGAGGCTGGTTTCTTCATCTAAATAAGGCAGTCAGAATGGCACATAGGGAAGAATCAGGAAGCTGATTGTGTTTGGGTGTCCCCTTCTTGCGCTGCACCCTGCCAGAACAAAGTGCCCCCTGCCCCTACCAGGGCCTGCTCCTTCCTCTCTATGCCACTGGGAGCCTGTGGCACAGTCATGGAACCTCAAAAGAGGATGACCTTGGGGTGGTGTGTGTCAGTCACTACCTGCGGGGGCCCAGTGCCACCCTGTTGCTAGGTGGGACATTTATTCCAAATCAGAGAGTGTTACACATAACAGTCTCATGGTAAGATGCAGCCTTAGAGTGGGGAGAGGGGCTGAAGGAATTGGCCTGCTGGTCAAGGGTTTGCTGCGTCTCGAACAAAGTGATGTCTTCAGTGGGAGAAGGTCCCTGACCTGGGATGCCCTGGCCTTGCTAAGCACTATCCACCCAGAGCTGAGGTGCTTACCAGGTTCTCACATGAATACATATGACGCTTTCTTCCCTTTTCTGTTATGAAGGAGCCAGAAAGCTTTGGTTCCATGTTGGAGCTGTCGTGGAGGGGGACCAAGGCCATTGAGCTGGGAAATGGGCAGACCAGGAAGTTTTTGCTGGATGGGGATGAAGTCATCATCACAGGTGAGGGCTGCGGGGCCCTTTGGGGTCCTCTCTTTCCTTGCCACTGTGCACTGTTCTAACCCCAGGCACATCCTTCTGTCCAGAAGCCATCTAACTCAGCCTGAGGCTGTCATGCCCAGATTCTGTGCCTTCTGGTTGTGTCCTTCCCCATGATCTTGGCAACCAGGGGACTTCAGATCTGAATCTCCTGTCAAAAACCTAAATACTTAGGGAAACACCTAATAATGTAACAGAATATATTTATTGTGTGAATTTGTGTTTCAAATTCAGCAGTTTCAACCCAGACATATCCAGAGGGGAGGAGTGTTTATGTAGGTCATTTTTATATTAATTTCTCAGGAGATCACATCAGAACACATGTCGGTTCCAGGCAGTTGGAAAAGTTGAGTCACTAAGGATGTGCCATACATTTTCCAGTCAGACCTTGGGGTTCCTGTACCTCCAAACAGGCTGCACATAGAAATTCTCTGAAAGGGCCCACTGCCTAAGACAAAATGATCTATTGTTTGACTTGAAGGTGACTTTAGGAAAACAATTTCTTAAAGTCTCACGGTTCAAAAGGACACCTAAGGGTAGATGGTGTAGGTGGGTTACTCCAATCCCATGAACCCAGAAATCTGGATTAGAGAATCAGTACATTTTTGTCAAGACCCACATCACAGCATCCAAATAAGTCCTGCTTCTCTCCCTTCTCCCTGAGCACAGTTAAGAAATTATGGCAGGTTCCTTGTTGTTCTAGACTTTTCAGAAACTCTTTATGCAGGATGCAGTGATCTATGTCTGTGTTCAGGGGAGGTGCTGTTGAGTTAGTGACTGAGAACTCCTGAGCAGGCCATTCTGAGAAGGCCAGATGCCTCTGTCCAACACTGAAGTGTACCTGGTGCCTCAGAGACTGTTTGACTGAGAGGAACAGAAGCCATCCTTTGCCACCCCCAGCCTAGTTTGCTTGGGTTAAAGGGTCTCAGTGTAAGTATACAGGGAACTTCCCAGGCTGGCCATGGGATGAGCCACCCAGCCTCCCAGAACTAGTGAGATCACTTGGTTCTGTGCTCTCTGTCCCTCTCTGGAGCCACAATATTTACCTCAGGGAGGTAAAGACATCTCTTCCATTATCCCACTTTGAGACCCATTTGCTCTGTAGAGCCCTCATCCCTGCATCTCCAGCTTGCACTCTGGCACATCCTGGCTCTAACTGAAGCCATAACTTTGTGTGTTTCTCCAGCATCAACTCCAACACTGTCCCACTGTAGTGTCTCTTGGTTCCTATTCTTGAGAGAGAGAATCTGATTGGCTCTGCTTTAGTCTTCTCTAGTCCAGTCAGCTCCTTCAAGAGGCCACGTGTCACAAACGCCCACCATGTTAGGAAGGCTTGTTTTTTTTTTAAATTTTAGTGTGATTTGCGTGAAAGTTTACAGAGCAATTTCATTATCCATACAGTAGTTCCTACACATTTTGTCTCAAGACATTGACTGCAATTTCCCACAAAGTAACAGCTCTCTTCCCACTTCCTCCCCATAGTTACCTCTTTTCCGTGTCTTTCCCTCCTATGCACTACCCCCTCCACTCCCCAAGCAGTCTCCCTGTGCATATATTGTCCTTGGGAAGCCTATTCTTAGAAGGAAAGTTGCAGAGCATCAGCTGAACAAGTACAAGGTGCCCAGAAATAGTCCTATCCCCTGGCTGGGCATCAGCCTTCGGAGAAGACACCACTCCCTCTCTCCCACTGCAATACCTCATCTGCCATATCAGTAGAAAGCATTAAGAAGAGGTAGTTGATTTTAATTTGTCCCCTTAGACTCATTTGAGAACAGTGATGACTTATTGATAGAATTTTCACCTTCTATGTGGTCGACACGGGTTTGATTTCCAGTCAATACACCTCACTCATGAGCAGCCACCGCCCATCTGCCAGTGGAGGCTTGTTTGCTTCTTGTTAATGATGCGGAACAGGTTTCAGCGTAACTTCCACCTAAAATGAACTAGAAGGAAAATCCTGGTGATCCATTTCCAAAAAGTCAGCCAGTGAAGATCCTATGGATCACAGTGGTCTGATTTGCAACTGATCATGGAGATGATGCAGGAGCAGGCAGTGTTTTGTTACACTGTGCATGGGGTCACATGAACTCGAGGTCGATTGGACAGTAGTTAACAACAACAAGAAGACACATTTGGAGGATTGAGGGGCTGATGAACACTGACTCAACCATATAATCTATCTTAAAAGAATAAGTTTAGCAGAAATTAGACATCTCTCCTGCTAGCCATTATGAAGTCATCTCTGATGCATAATATATGTGACTTAAAACATACTTATTATCTGAAACTTTACTACCAAGGGAAGGAAAAGCAGAAGTGCCTCAGAAGAAAGACCTGGTGATCTGCTTCCAAAAGGTCACAGCCCTAAAAACCCTGAGGAGCAGTTCTACTCTGTACACATGGGTTTGCCACGAGTCAGAATTGAGTCAATAGCAACCAACAATAACAACAAAGATATTCTGAAGGAAATTCCCAATGTGCAGACTGAAAACTACTTTTTATTCTTTCAACTTAACCAAGGTTAGAAAATCACAAACAGAACTGAGTCTATTTTCTGCTCTGCCCTGTCCCTCTTGCCTCTGCATGGCAGAAGCACTCTTATGTGGAAGAAATGCCAGAACCATCCCCATCCTAGGAAATACTGTTTTAACTGAAGCCAAAGGTTTTCTGAAGCCATACATAGTGTCTGACAACGTTGTGTAAAGTTTATGAGCTTTTCAGCTATAGTTTTGTATTCCTGGGCATCCCAGGAAAACAAGGAATGATGCCATGGTAGCTCACCACTGTGGCCATTAGTTAAAGCACAGTGGTTGGAAGCATGGGCTGTGGAGTGAGCTGGCTTTGGTATGAGTCCCAGGTCTGCATGTACACATGGCGTGATTGTGTGCATGTGACTTAGCTTCTCTGGGTCTTAGCCTCCTCATATATAAAGTAGGGATAATATTTTTTTGAGAGTTAAAGAACTTGGTGTCTTTCCTGGCACTCCTGATTTTCTACCTTATTACCACTTAGTGGCTGATGCCAGCCACCTAGGTAGTATCCTTGTACCTTGCTCTCTTTTCAGTCTATCAATAAGTCCTGATGATATTCCCTCAACTCTGACCCTGAGCGTGTCCACTGCTCTTCCTGTTCATTTTCCTCACCTACCCTAAACCCTGCGGCTGATCCCTGGTCAGCCGCAGGGATCTAGGTGAGGAGAGGAACTCAGCACGCCCAAAGCAGCAGTGCGGGAGAGCAGGAGAAAGGGGATTAAAAGCCAGGAACCTGGACAGAGGAGCAGTCAGCAGCAGGGATCCAGGTGAGGAGAGGAACTCAGGCACGCCCAAAGCAGCAGCAGTTCAGGATAGCAGGAAAAAGGGGATTAAAAGCCAGGAACCCGGACAGAGGAGCAATCAGCCGCAGGGATCCAGGTAAGGAGAGAGAACCCAGGCACACCCAAAGCAGCAGGATGGGAGAGCAGGAGAAAGGGGATTAAAAGCCAGGAACCTGGACAGAGGAGCAGTCAGC